TTGACGCCAATTTCTCCAGGGGGAAAATACTTAGATAGTTAGTAGAAAACTAGTTGTTACAGTACTACGTAATACTAGTAGATTAATAGAAGTAGAAATAAAATTAGTTTACTTTTGTGGAATACATGGTATAATAAACCCTATTTAGGTTTACTTCTTCTACCTAAACCACTTCTTAGTCTACTTTAGATAAATATGGCTACTGTAAACCGGTTTTGTACCGTAGTGCTAATAGGAATAAGGGACAAGGCCAGCCTTATTCGTACCTAAGGCCTGAAGTATCGATACCTTACATCGCTCTTCTATCCATACGGTATGAAGATAAGTTGTATACCAAAATTCGTACGTAAAGCCGTTGAAATTTCAATTTCAAGCCCACGTAGTCGACGATATTGTGATACTGTTTCTACTGCCCTATTTTAGCACCTTTGCCTGCTCCCCTGGCTAGCCCTTGTTCTCATAGGCATTGCCCCTTTCGAAATTAGACCTCTGTCTATCACAAATCCGATAAATCAATATCCTGCTTACAAAAGTTAAGTATCAAACATAGTAGAGAGTAATACCCAGTAGCGGTATTCATTAGGAGCGGCGGTGACCAGGAACAGCAGAAATCTCTAGTAGCGAGTTTCCATTTCTAAAGCGGTGAAGTGATCTAGACTTTGGAACAGTTAGGAGCATCTAAGCGCGACTTTTACCAGAACTGAATAGGATAGCAGAGAAAAAGCCTTATAAGCAGCAACTTAGCCTAACGTGGGAAATAATCAAGAGTAATCTAAGGCCCTAGATTCGTGATTGCTACTAGTTGTATAGTTAAGTAGACGGTTTTTGATAGAACTGCCTTTACTATAACTTCTATTTCTCAATACAACTTGAAGCAGAGTGTGCACGAAATATTAATGACTAATAAAAAACTTGTATTTGGAGACAGGATTACAAAGGTTTCGTATGGCAGTCACGGCCAAGATGTGCAGCTCGAAAGATTGATGGAACTGTCGCTTCCTTTTGCAAAAAATAGCAACATGTGACATCTGCCACGAGTCTGTAACTTCCTGGAAGCACCAGCTAGCTCTGTTTGGACACGTAAACATCATTCCAAAAAGCCATGGACCTTGACAAGTACTCTTCTTCAGCTTCTTCACTTATCCTAGACCCTACTCGCCTATACGCCAAAAACACCGGTCAGGCGCCTCATATCACTATCCTACGAGTGCGGAGAAAGATTCTCCACTTCCAGCTCTACGGGGCTTTGATTAAAGGATCAATATGCCCGGACACTCAGGCGGCGACCGATTGATTGTAAAGCTCACATCCTATCTCACACCGGAAACCTTCTCAACTGCAATAGATCAGTTTACTTCACCTAATCTAAAGAGGGGACCAAGCTTGCCTAAGAGGAAAGCCGATGTTGATGTGCACATGATGGAGGCATTCGGGTCAACGGGTTCTAGCTGTGGAGTTGCACGACAGAGACCAGGAAGAGCGACCAGCGAAAGCATGTCGAGAGACGGGTTAGAGTCATTACTGATTGTTTCATTCAGTAATGATCACCAAAGGGCTTATGAAGGACGTGCTCCAGCTCAAACATCGCTCAATCCTCCACGGCCATCAGCCCACCGTTGCGCCAGCAGTCCAGTTGTGCAATCTTACAGACACTACCATAATCCTACAAGTACTATCGCTACACTGCAGCAAGGCATCATACAACCACCAAAGTTTCCCGGCTATCAGTCTTCGGCATCTACTTCGCCTCCTTTGATTTCGAGTCTACAACGCATGCAGGGTGAGAATGGATCTAGCCCAAGAAGGCACGTTGTTATAGAGCCCACTTCGTATCGGGAACGGATGGATGTGCATGTAAAATCAAGGGCAAGTGATCAGACACTCAAGCCATGCATCAAATCAAAAGCAAAGAGTACTCCAACATCGCCTCCAGGCGAACAGTTGGGTTCGGAAGATGGAATACACTCTCTACGCCGAGTCAAGACTGTCGAATTTGACGAGAAGGGATCGAAAGAATCCATAGAATCGCTTAACCCCGTAGCAATGGTTCTTGGTGGCACCACTGAAAATCCCAAACTGGACCGAACAAAGACAAAATTTGGGAAAGGTCCTGCTACTATGTCATTGTACCCGATCAGACTCGGTAAAATGAAAGGTCGCCCAGCCGATCCAGCAGTCACTCGTACGGATGTTCACGTCATTGCCATTGCACCCTCGGCTAACGCTGCCACCTACTCGAACGAGGATAGTGTTGATCCCGTTACACCCACCATGCAAGTTGTAGAATCCAAAGCCGGCCGCCATGAGATAGTCTGGGATGATGTGCCTGAAGAGGACGATAGCAGGCCTATGGACCGACGTGGTTCATCTGCGGGACAGGCTCTTCACAATGTCAGCTGTCATGGGAAACGAGGACTGGACAGAGTGAACACCAAGCTTGCTGATTGGTCTGGTAGCTGGAACAGTCCATCAAACAGCTTCCAGCCTACGACTGTGGTCTTTCCCGATGAAGATACGCAAGCTCCCCATTACGAGTGGGCGGTTGAAGATGACGAAGATTTGACAGTGTTGGCACCTCCAAATAGCCAAAGAACAAGCGTTGGGCCCTCTCGTCATCAGTCCCGCCCAGAGAGTGCACCGACGACAAGAGCACCTTCAGATGACGAATATGAGGCATCTGATTTGGTACTCGCAAGACCTTGTCCCGTCAGTGTAGACGATTGGAAGGGGCATCAACACTCATCACTCGTTGTGCCTGACCCCAAAGGGCGTGTGAGACATTCAGCCAGCACAGGCCAAATGAGGGCGCAATTACTACCCGCCATTCACAAGTGGTCCGACATTGAAGATGACGACGTTAAATTTCGTGGCCATCGCGACTCTGTCACTACTGCGCATTCCCGCTTGGTCCGCACTGGCGGCGTTTCGCCCGAGCTTTTTGCTCATGGGGATTATGTGTCCATGGCCAAGAAACGCATGCATGCGAGGAATCACGCCAAGTCTGCATCAAGAGATACTCTACGGGAAGAGGTACTGCAGTCTGGTCTGTTGAGCCTGGACGATGTTGATGATGATGCTTCTATGGTGTCACTTGAGATGATCAAGGAGCGTGCTCTGCCGGCGTTACAAAAGAGGAGTGCGGCGTCGATGCTTGGTACGCATAGGGAGTCTCCTTCTCGGCGTCATATTAGACTCTTGGGTTGATTTGTCTTGTTGATGCAAGGCGTAGTGTTGTGTTGTGCTGTGCAAAGATTCGATGGAATTAGACAGCCGGCTCTGTCGCACCAGGGTAGGCATTACCTCAGGACTACAAGGCTATAACTTTCTACAATGTAACATGTCATGAAGCTGTGATGGTTTATTCATGCGAATTCTTCTACGATAATCATACTTGTAAGATGTCTGGGTTCACAGGCGTCTGCAGTATTCACTGCAGATACGTTTACTTATACCTCCACACTGAGCTTTCCAACCACAAGTAAAACCGCTGTACATAATCAAGGCGACTTACCATTGAGTTGTCATGATTTTTTTATCCTTCTCCAAGAAACTCTACTCCACTTGTGAAGCATCGGGATCAGCCTTTCCGTGACAACGAGGCTGCTCGGAAACATCATCTAACATTCAACGTCGCAAACCACGTTTGAACCCAACCACCTCAGGTGCAAGTCACGCAGATGATCTAATGAACATCACAAGTCCAAGGACGTCCTATATGAAATCATCTCCTCCCCCACATTTTTCACGCTTTCCACAATCACACACACACACACACACACACATGGACAAGACAGCCAGCAGGTTTTCCAGCAAGATGGACACGGCCTTGGGCAAGAGACCCAAGTCGCAACGCTACGATCCCTTGGCCCAGGCATCCAGCTCTGCTCACTCGGACGCAGACTCAGACGCTAGCACAGAAATTGGCGACGAGGAAGAAGACGGCTGGGATCCCGAGCGCGGTTTGCAAGCATCCGGCCATGGACGAGAAAAGGGAAAGACTGCAGTCCGAGCTATCAAATCACAGTTGTGGATGCTCAACACGGTCCTGCTTTTGGCTATACTCCTACTCCTGCTATTATCATTGTTCATGGGCAGCGAGCAGGGGGAAATGGGGTTCAAGACAGCGTCGAGCTCATCGCGGTTTGAGCTCCTTGGCGATGTCTCCGGCTTCACACCCTCGTTTTCCAGCAAGGTGGTGACATTTAGGCCGGATGCGAGGTTTGCGCCTGAAAAGGCCGAGGCATTCTTTAGTAATGAGACGTTGGAGGCTTGGTTGGGGATCGTGCCTGGTGAGTTTTTTTTTTTTTTTTTTTTTTGATTGGAGTATTCGTTTCACTGCTTGACTGGCTGGATGTCTACGTAGCTGGTCACTTGTATTCTACGTGCCTGAATTCCTACCTCCCAAATTGCTTTAGCTCGCGTTTTTTCCCCCATACTATGCCACTCGTCCACACTTCGACCCTCATCAGGCCCCAAACAACAGTTACACCAGTACTACCACCGCTGACCAGCCTCCCCTCACCAACAGCAGGCCTAGGCTACACCGAGATCACCGACCCGCAAAACCACCACCCCCTCCCCCACCCCATCCACGACTACCCCTCCAAATCCGTCTTCACCACATCCCTGACCCACCAACTGCACTGCCTCTACACCATCCTATCCGCGTACAACGCGCAGACCGTGGCCCTCTCCTCTTTTACCTCTTCTTCCTCATCCTCGCCCCGAGTCCCACCGGTAAAAGAGCCGTGGCACATTACGCACTGCGCCGAGTACTTGCGGCAGGCGATCATGTGTGGGGCCGATGTTGCGCTTGAAGGGGCGGCGACGACATTTCCGGAGGGCGAGTTTGGGGATCGAGGGGGGAGCGATGGGTGGGATGGGCGACATGTGTGTAGGGATTATGGCGAGGTGATGGGATGGTTGGAGGGCGTGGCGGTCAGTGATGTCAAGTGGATTGGGTCGGATTGAGAGGGTATGGAGGTAACTGTAGCGCGTGGGAACATGGCTGTGTGTGATAATTCCAATGATCCAACATACTACCCACTTAATTCTGAAATGTTTTGTTGTCATTGATGAAGTAATGTATCAAAGTGCGGCTGGTGTTACCATTGGGTATACTGTAGACTCCAAACTCGGCCCTTGCGACCCCTAGCTCTCATCTCGATCCCGAGTCGGCTACATGCCTCGGTGGACAAGGTCACGGAGCAAGCCACCGAGTGTTTGTGAGCAGGTGGGGATCGACAGGTGTTGCAGTACGACGGGGAGGAGGAGGAGGAGGAGGAGGAGGAGGGTGAACACCGGCGCAAAGACCTGTATGGGCCCGACGCGGACAAGTACGACCCCGAGCGGTGGGCCACACTGCGCCCGAGCTGGGAATATCTGCCCTTCAACGGCGGACCGAGAATCTGCCTAGGACAGCAGTATGCGCTTACCGAGGCGAGTTATGTGACGGTGCGCATGTTGCAGGAGTTCAAGGCCATGGAGAGCCGGGATGCTGAACCATGGATTGAGGGGTTGACGCTGACGTTGTGCTCTAAGAATGGGGTCAAGGTTGGGTTGACGCCGGCTTAGAAGGTCAGCCATGGGGTTAGGAGGCCGAGTCGCTGTTTTGGCATGTGTGATGT